GCGGAAAAAATTAGATTGATTGTTAATTTTCAAAGTCTAGAAGTATGCTGCTCTTGGAAGCCCGAACTTCCACGAGTGTGGTTTCTTCATAAAAGGAACTCACTACAAAAATTCTGCAGTGTGCTGTTTGAGCTCATCATGATTAAGTATGAAATCTAGGTTTAAAAGTGCACGAGTCACTCAACCGTGGTTTAACAGGCCATCTTGGCCACCTGAAATGGCCGTTTAGAATGTTTACTACTTCTTGGAAAGTACGCTCTGGGTCAGCAGTTTCGCATAGTTTACGGATTGCTGAGCGGAAATGATGCGTGCATGTAACTTGTAGCGATCTTTCTGACGAGTTCAATGTACACACGTCAATAACCGATATCGAAAAAAAGCGTTGTTGACCGCACGATCCTGTGTAACAAAATAGTATCCACGAGAGCAAGGTTAGTAAAATCGTGCTGTCTACGCCATCTTCCCTTTTACTATCGCATGGTCTCCCCAAATCAAGCGATACACACATACAGTAAATAACATGACAAATGGGGGGACGACGACTCTTCTTTGGCTACCTTTTATCTAGTTTTCATGTTTTCATTGAATCAGCCAGCTTTTTTTACCTCTTGTCTCCTACCTTTTAAACGAGGTTTTCTAAAACATCCTATAATTCGTACCGGCAAATCTCGATTTACCGATGTAGGCATCACAAGTAAAGCGAATTTCGCCTACCAATCCTCGTAGCACAAAAATGCGAAAGCTCTTTGGTTGTATTTTGGCATTCTGTTGACTCTGTCCACTGTCAATTCCTTTACGGGAACTGCGCCGCTTATTTTGGCGGGTACGGCTATTCACATGGCCCCCTAAACGGGAACCGCCTACTGTAAAGATGACTTAGCGTCAAATGTTTGGGAAATTAGAGTTAGATTTAAAGTCCGGGTTATGGTTAAGTTTAGGGCTAGGTTAAGTTTAGGGTTGGTGTCAACTTTCATTTTGGGGTTTAGATTACTGTTTCCATTACGATTATGGCTATGGTTCAGGTTTGTTTTAGGGCTTGTGTTAGAGTTAGGATGCGCGAATATGGACCCTGCTTAGACTTATGCGCAGGGCATCTTTATTAGTTGGGCGAGGCATTCCTATTGCAATGTCCATGCAAAAAATCAATTTAATTGTCCCTTAGGAACAAAGCACTTGGCAAAACTGAGCTAGAATAGGTAAAGTTAAATGTGTCTGACTGGCACTATTAAGTTCATATGAAGCTGATCAGTAACGCCGGCCTGAAATAATCAGGGGGAGAGGATACGACTATGAAGTTTATTACACCTTTAGCCAGTCTACGTTTATCTTCTGCGTTGTATAGGTTTCTCATTCCGTTTGAGGAAATCTGGGTTTTCTGTTAGAGTTTACACTCTGGACAGTTATAAGGATGTGAGCGTGGGCTCGAGTTTTTATGTACATTCCTCCAATGACTGACCACAGAACAGGGAAGTTTTGCGTTATGAACTGGTACTGGATTACTCACTGATTCTCTTGCACTTCCAGCCAATGTGGCCCAAAGGATGGACGTGGCATACCAATGGAGCGGCAAACTACCAATGCGCAACTACGAGTCCATGAACTTTTCACGTAAGGTCTTTCTCGGTGGGGTGCCCTGGGATAGCAGCAGCGATGATCTCATCTACGCCTTCTCGCGTTTTGGCAACGTCTCCGTACTCTGGCCCCAGAGAGATGGTTACGCGTTTTGCAGTGTGCACGATAATTCCGACCGCGCCTCTACCCCGAAGGGCTACTGCTACCTTCTGTTTGAGCACGAGTCATGTGTATGTGATCTGCTCTCCTGTTGTGTTCGTGATCCCGTCTCTGGTGGTGACTACTACAAACTTTCCGGCCCAAAATTGAAATCCAAAGACGTCCAGGTTGGTGGCATATTTATTTCCTTCCTCTTCATCATGTCCTCGCACCCTACAGACCACAAAACTTGAGTATCCGTCCTGATGTCCTTAAGTGGTGTAAAGTGATGTAAGGAAGTCTTCAGGGGAGCGCATCAGGAGGTCGGGGTACGAGTTAGCGCTTGGAATAGGTTCCAGTGAGGTTTTATGCGTTGGTGTCTGAAATACACGCAAGAAATAATGTTCCTTAGGCATAACGCATCGCAATATTGTTGCAAATGTACTATTCTGGTTACCAAAACACTTAAAAATGCACTGTAAAAAAGTGACTGACATCACAGGGCTTTACGGCCTCCCAAGTATTCAACTACCACTTATCCAAACGGTGGCGTTTTTGTCACTTAATTTATCAAATAAAAGTGCTGGCCTATTTCGCATTAGACTTATACATTATGCAGGCACGAGTATGACCGCCAATTTTATCAGTAGTTTGAATTTCAAAGCCATCTGTCTGTAATTTTAGTTTGCTAGGTTAAATCTCTTCTTTTTCTTGGAAGGAGTTGTTTCAGTAATCCTTTTAAATTTTCGCAATATCTTGCATAAATTTTCATCTACTACACAACCCACATGATAGCCTACGCTTAATTTACGAAATTGTAAGTCTCTAAGGCCGGAAGGGTAGTATTCTAGAAGCCGAAGTTACCTAGGCTCCGGTTACTAAGACTGGAACGGTGAGGCCAAACGAAATCGCCCGCACTCTGTCCTGTGACTAGAACAAAACGGTGAAGTCCAGTCCTACGTGGCAACAAAGTTCCTTTTATTTGCCAATATGCGGGTGTCAACCAGAGCTTTGAGTATTTCGGGCGTGTCTCTGTAGGGTAAGCCAAAATACCTTATCGGAAATGTGTCTTTATCGACTTAACGGCTGTGTCTCCCTTCCATTTCGCAAGTATGTCTTCCTAGTCACTTACTTCCCCTTCCGTTGAAAACCGGTTTTAAATTGAACTAACACTGTCAACACAC